ACTTTAACATCCAGGATTGAATTCGTCTCTATAATGTTTCTTTGTTGCCATGTCTTAAAGACATGACACTTCTATCACCTTTATGAAAAATGGTAGGAAAAACTTTTTTTTTTTTTTTTGTCAGTCGTGGGGCCTGGGCGCTGTCCCTCAGCTCTTCAGCTCAAGGTGAGCGCTCTACCACTTGAGCCACAGCACCACTTCCAGTTTTCTGCTGGTTTATTAGAGCTAAGAGTCTCACAGACTTTCCTGCCCAGGCTGGCTTTAAACCTTGATCCTCAGATCTCAGCCTCCTGAGTAGCTCGGATGAGGGACGTGAGCCACTGGCACCCAGCTTGGAAAAGCATTTTTTATCCTAGGTACTTCTTGCTAGGATTCTGTACAAATTTTAGTGGGGGAAACTATTTAAAATGCTTTTTGTTTCCCCAGGAGGAACTAGCTTTCTAAATAAGCCTCCCTAAGTTCTCAAAATCAACAGTTCCTCACTGAAGATGCTGTGTTCTTTGATTCAGCCTTTCTGGGCAGCTGGGCTGTTAGAAACTGGTTTCAGCTGAGCTGTTTCAGCTACCAATCTCAGAACCATGTGTCTCTGATGGTCCAGTCTTCAACTAGCTTTGCTATTTGCGCTTTGTTATGTGGCATCTCCAAAATAACCAGCAAAAGGCTGGGCCAGAGGCATGACTCAAGTGGTAGGTAGAGCCCCAGCTGAGCAAGCAAGCCAAGCAAGAGCACCAGGTCCCATGCTCAAACTCTGGTACCAGCAAAAGAGGGGGAAAAAAAAGTCCACTCCTAAATTTATTATAAATGTATAGCTATAACTTGTGTAACAGACACTTATATAAAATTGTATATAACTTACATAAAACTTTCTGCCCTGCATGATCTTTTCCCTACAGGCTGGAGTCTATTTCACTGGACTTAAGATTTATGCTTAAGCCAGTTACCAGTGGTTCATGCCTGTAATCCTACCTACTTAGGAGGCTGAGATCAGAGGATTGCGGTTCAAAGCCAGCCTGGGCAGGAAAATCTGTGAGATTCTTATCTCCAATGAACCAACACACCAAAAGTGGAGGTGTGGCTTACGTGGTAGAACACTAGCCTTGAATGTAAGATAGCAACCTAGGCCCTGACTTCAAGCTCCAGAACCAGCACCAAAAAAGGTGTGTGTGGGGGCTTAATAGTAGCTTGGGGAGGGGATATCTATCTACAGTATTTTAATTATGTAATTTAAAATTTTAATAATCGTATAGATAATAAAACTTAAATGGTCGGGTTTTTAACATAAATCAAAACGCTAGGGTCTGAATAATGGCAAGCGAGAAGCACCAAGACATTTTAATCTGCTCATGACTTTGTGGAGCCTTCCCCTCCACCACCAAAAAAAACACCTGATGATAATATATAAAACTGAGACCAAAAAGCAAAACAAACAAAACAAAAGGTGCAAAACCCAGCGGCCTGGGTTTGCTTTAGTCTCAGCAAGTGCTGGATGTGCATTTGCATCTCATCTTGAAAGTGTGACCACCCCTCCCTCGCCCCCCACCAGCCCAGGCTCCCACTTGAGCCCACCGGTGACTTAGTGCCATCTGGCGGTCACAGTCAGTACTAGGGAGAAGTCAGTCCCAAGTTTGCATACTGTCCATGCACTGTCATAGCACTAGACAGGAGAGCAAACATCAATATGTATTACATTTGAATACGCCATTCAAAACAGGCACCCACATCATTAGGGAAAGAGATATTTGGGTCTCTTGAAGGAAGCCAGTTTGATAAAAGTTCCTAATCTGTGTGAGAAATTTTAGACCAAAGAGGTAAAAGAGAAACA